TAGTCTTTCAAGTATAACAAGATGAATGATGAAACACTTATGATTTGGGATCCCTTTGGGAGTTCACGGCCACCAAGAACATGTGTGTGTTCTTGGTGTTTTTGGTGAAAGATGATGATCTTGAAGATCTAGACAAAAGTGGTGAATTCATGGATGAAATCATCGGGTTGTACTAGATCAACAAGGATATCAAGGAATGAAAGGAAGAATCACTTACGATTTGGATGAGAAATGGAGTAATTCTTGATGATACTTGAGAGAGAATGGAAGTTCTTGAGTTGGAATGGGGAAGAATGAATAAGAAATGAGGGAAATCTATACATATGGAGGAAAGATCACGACCATAAGAGAGTTCACGGTCGTGAACTAGGTTTGCGGCCGTGAACCTCAAATGTTGGGTTCTCTAGTTCGGGTGCAGCCAAGTGATCTCGAGCCAATACTTCCTAACACTCAATCCTTAAGTGTACTAGGCTTAGAACTCCTTAGAATGACCCTTAACAAGACTAGAAGGCAATTGAATTTAGTCTGACTTTTGGTTTATTGGCTGGATATAGAAGGTCAAAATTTTCGGGTTGTCACAACTACCACCACCACCGACATGAATGCTCAATTATTAAAATGAAAAATTATTATTTTTATAGTTTGTATAACATATCTTTACATGTAAGATAGAAAGCAAAGTAAAATTAAGCAAAACTGAAAAAGAGGGCAATTCTGTCATTTTATATGGATTACATTTCCATTTCCTGCCAACCAAACAAAATATGAAATTAATTCCAATTCCATTTATTTTCAACCAAACAGTATATGAAATTGGATTCAAATTCCTGACAAATTCCTTCTGCAATTCCAATTACAATTTCTTATAGAAACATTCTGCAAAACCAAACACCTAAAACAATACGGTTTAAGATATTTTATAGTTTAGATATAATATTTTATATACAATAATTTGTATGAGCATCTCAAATCGAAGGATGTTCTTTCTAGATTTAGTTCAACTAGAGGTAAACAAGCCGAGTCAAGCTTAAGTTCGGGTAGGCTCGGGATCGGCTTGTTTAAATTCATGGGGCTCGAACTCATGTTCGACTTGTTTCGAGCTTAATTTTCGAAGGTCGGCTCGCGGAGAATTTAACATGTTCCAACTCGACTCGTTTCGTTTGTCAAGCAAGCCTACTCGAGCCTAAGCTCGACCTAGCATGTATGAGTTAATAGTCAAATATCAAGTTCGTTTATATTTTTAAGTTTGGTAGAAAACATATTTATCATTATTTATTATTTGATATTTAATTATTTAGTTATAATTTAATATATTAAGTTAATATATATATATATATATATATATATATATATATATATAGATATATATATATATATATATATATATATATATAAACTCGATTAGACTCGCGAGCCTAATCGAACTCGACAGATGAAGTTCGGGCTCGTTTAACTCAAATTTGGGTAACAAAAAGTCTAACACATGAGGTTGAAGGGTATGGTGTCACTCTTATCATATTTCTTTCTGTGCCATATAGGCATCATGTCATTTTTACTACAAAAGTGTGGTTCTTTGACACACATTAGATGTGGTGCCACATTTTTTTAACAATTTAATTTAAATAAAAACTTACAATTTCATTATTTCAAATAAAAAAGTACATAGTAGAATTAAAAAAAACTTAAAAAGTTAAAAAGACAAAAAACATAATAAAAAAAGTTCACAAATAAAATAACTAAAGCATAATACATGAATTCTTCATCTGAGAACTCATCTTCCGAGGCATCAATGGAATCCAAATTGAGATCATTGTGTTGAATCCCGTAAATGTGTTCCATCAAGTCCATGCGAAGATTGTGATGTGTTTCAATGCTACGTATCTCCACTCTCTTCTCCATGTACATATCGCCACCAATCTTCATTGGTTGTGTCTCGGGGATGGTTTTATACTTGTCGTACGCACATATCGCTCTTCCTTTATCTTCAATAATCATATTGACACATGCATACATGAACTCTTGTAGTTTTCCCTCGTCCATCTTTATTAACTACACTTATTCGTTAAATCTTCGATTATACGTTCATATAAAGGTTTGAACATTCTGAACCGCCTTCAAAAATAGTAGCCTTGAAAAGTGTCATGCTCGTCAAAGTAGTCTTGCATTAAACGTTGGTGGTCATATTCACGATCTCTCTGAATATATCTTTATGATCTCCATTGCGAACTTTCGACTTCGTCATTGCATAAAGTGTTATATGTTTGTTGCATTATTTTAAAAACCCTGAAAACAGCTTCAAGCATAACTTAAATTTTTTCAGAAGATGAAGATGACAACATTTTTTAGTGATTTTGAGAGAAATAGATTTAGAAAGATAGAAGAATTGGATTTAGGTGTGGTAAAATAATGGCTGTGAGGTTTTATTTATAGGTAAAAAAAGGAAAAAATGACTTTTAAATTTTTTGACCATTCAAAGCATTGGGAGATGAGAAAGAAGAGTAAAGAAGAGAGAGGGAGTGCAACAGATTGTAGCTACATACGGCCAAACCACGAGGAAGACTGCAGGGTGGGCCGATATTCCCTCTTGATGACCTGGTGAATCGTAGGTGCAACCGCACCCACACCCTAAAACCTAAGGGTGTCAATTTATGACACGGCGCGACAAAAATACACGCCACAGAATGAAATCGAGACGAAATCAAAATTCGAATTCGTGTTCGTGTCAAGTTTAAAAAACATGATGTCGTGTCATGTTGTGTTCGTGTTTACAAATCGAGACAAAATGGACACGATTGAGCATGTGTTTGTCGTTTTTTTCGTGTTATATATGATTAAGTATAAATTAAATATACTAATGGTTATGTAATTTTATGTTTGTCGTGTCGTGTCGTATCGTGTTGTTGTGTTTTAATTGGTTCATTTTCATGTTAATGAAAAAAAACCCGACATCGTGTCGTGTTGTGTTCGTGTTATACAAAACTTTCTCGTGTCATGTTGTGTCTGACAAAAACACGACAGGACTGTCCGTTCTGACAACAAAATGTTAATACCATTATCCCATGCAGAATTTGATTTATGAAATCTGAAAATAGAAATATGTCGTGGTTTGTAAGATACTAAAACGTGTGGGCTTAAATTTAATTAAGAGAAAGTGTAAGGGTCTATAATGTAAACTTTTCAGGCGGTGAAATTATGAAGTGATAATAAAGACTCCCACAGCAAGTGGGCTACTTGCACCATGCCTAGTTTGCCCCGTATAATTTCAAAATCTAATAATTCTGCCTTTTACTTCACTAATGGGCAAACAAAACCAACTCAAAACCTTCTCAAAATCACCTTTTGTTATTTACCCCCTTTTCAAACGTACAAAATTCAATGCATAAGATACAAACCACCGGAAGCAAAAACACACAAAGGAAATAAAAATATGTTTATTAGATTTATTGGAAATTTTTATCCGATTGCTGCAAAAACACACAAAGGAAATAAAGATGCCACAGTACATGCTTTTGAGTGGGGTATGTGGAGAATATTGCCTAAATGAAGCCACGGATAAAATTATAATGGGACCTTTTTGTTTGGGTACGAACTTTTGTTGATGAACCTGTACATTCTGTATGGCATAATGCTTAAAAAATAATTCCAATTGTATATATATTGAATAATGTGATGATATCGACAACCCAACCAAATTAAAGAAGATCATGCTTGTTTTTATCATTTTCTTGATTGATTGGTGGTGCATCAAACATATGTATACGACGAAACATGAATAATTGGAAAACCTAACCAACCTATATTATGTCTTTAATAATTATTAACGAGATAATTGCATGATAAGAATATACACGACGATTTAGACAGTTAGGTGTGTTCTTTTTTTTTTTTTGTTGTTGTTGTTTTAGTTTGAGTTTAGGTTAATTAGATGAGAAAGAGATGGTGGTGATACTGCTAATGCCACTGTTTGTGCAGAGGATCAACGATGTATATGATGGGGAAAATGTATCTAAATGATAAAATGAACTACCAATAATTTCGGTTACCCAAAACCCTTGGTCTCTAGAAAGTGAGTTAACCCAACAATCAAACAAAACAAATATGATTGTGGAAATACTAAGATAACAATCTCTAACAAACACAAACAAACAATATAGCAACAATTAACATCGACAAGACAAGAGATTTAACGTTGTTCCACAATAGAAGAGGTTATGATGATATCCTGTATAAGGCACAATCAAATCGGGATTACAACATTTACCAAGTATAAAAATGATGATCAAAAGCAAGAATCACCAAAAATCGTCTACGAGGGGAAATGGTAAAACTCGACTTAAAATGACTAAAATCCGTCTTTTTTTTAAAAAATGATCACCGGTTAATGGCCATTTGGCTTCTATTTAAGTCAAATATTGCCACTTCAAGTGGCGACCAAAGGGTGATTTCAAATGGCGACAAGTGGCTAGCAAGTGAAATTTTGGAGCTGCCAATAATTTCTTCCAAAATCTTCAAACCAGTTGTGTCTAGATGCATTGCATGTCAAAATTACAACACTTCACCTTGATACCAATGTACCCATAACTCAAAATGTACCAAAGTAATCCCATAAAAAAAGGTAGACACTACTTAAAGTAGTCCAAATGTTACCCGACTTCGACATGACTATCACCCGAACATCACCTATCCTAAAACCTAAATGACTAAAGTTAGCAAATATGACATATCATATGAGTACTAAAACAATATACCAATACATCAAAAACAATCTCTCCCCCGAATGCCCATATGGCATCAAACGAATGATGTTCAAGCAATGCTCAAACTTTCCAATAGCAATAGCCTTGGTAAACACATTTGATGCATTATTATAAGTATGAATCTTTTTGAATGAAATCAACTTTTCTTCATGCAAAACAATTATAAAAGATTCTTAAACATGAATATGTTTTATCCTCGAACTAAAAGCCAAATTTCCAGCCAAATGAATTGCACTTTGGCTATCACAATTCACCACCACCAAATCCATGATAAAAACCAAAATAACTGAAAAGTTGCTTCAAGTACAAGGCTTCCTTCATTGCTTTAACTGTGGCTATAAACTCGGCCCCAGTGGTTGACAAAGCAATCATGGTCTGCAACCCCGAACGCCAACTAATGGGTGTCCTACCAAAGTTAAATAGATAACCAGAGGGCGACTTAAGACGATCTTCATCACTGGCGTAATCAGACTCCCAATAACTGATCAAATCATACACCCGACCAACACATATGAATACAATCCATTTATCTTGAGTTACATGCAAGTACCATAAAATGCCTTCCACGACATTCCAATGTGTCTTACATGGTTTGGACATGAACCGACTAACGACACTAACCGCTTCCACCAAATTTGGTCACATATAAACCATAGTGTGCATGATGATCCCAACCACACTTGTATAAGGTACCTTGCTCATATAGATTGTATTCGTCTCAGAATTTGGACAATCTTTAGTTGAAAGCTTTGTGTGCATCGACGTGGGTGTATTACATGCCATTGCACTCTCCATTTTAAAATCGCTATAAATTATTTTTAATATAACTCGATTTAGTCAAATTCAATGTTTTGAGATTTTGGTCCCGAATAATCTCCATATTGTGACATCCCCAATTTTACGGTCCGAAAAAGACATTTTCTTTATGCTTATTTAAAACAGAGTATTATTTCATTAATGCGATTGTCCCATAATATGTATAAAACATTTTCGAAGAAACGTTTTTCATTAGTATTAAAAACTTTGGATGTCAACATTGATATAGTAACATAAGCATAAGTTCATCATTACATGACTATGACTTACATCAGTTTATTATACTAATGGCCTAAAATTCCTCAAATCTCTCAATAGATTTAAGATCATTATCCTTATGCCTTCGTACCGCTACCTGTGATACAAGAAATTGAGTGGGTTAGGCTAGGAAGCATGGTGAGTAAATAGGTTTCAACCCATAATAATATAATTAAATTGTTTTACATATATATTTCACAACAAATAATTAACCCGATTGCTCGTTCCCATTATTCTCACTCTCTAACCTAAATTGATGATCTGAAGGGATCTATCCTAAGGGATCACTGTAAGCAACGAGTAGACAATACCACTTCGGGGATTCCTTAGCAATATATGTCAATACGACAACTATGAGGGGGATAGAGTACTCGAATGAACACACAATCCAAACTCTCGGATGGTATGATTCATTAACACCTATAGATAGCGAGTTTGCCAATGTTCCAGAAGACTGTCTAGAATAGTCAGTGGTCGTCATCTATATTATTCAAGATGACTAGTCTCAATAGTATAATAGTACAACGTTGGTCATGACCTCTCTCTATTATTTTATTCTCCACAACCCTTCACTACCCAATATAAATTAAATACGATAAAATAAATATACAATTTAATCAAGTAAAATCATATCATGTTACTTTATATAACACATATGTCAAATAACGAGCACATATAACATTTAAGCATTTAAATACTTTATATCTATGTGTAAGATGAAAGTAACTATGCACTCATTTGTTAAAAGTGGATGATTGGTGATTAAGTCAGCGTTTCATCTAACACCTTAGCTTTTCCTTTCCAAAGACCTAGATATAAATATTACTAACTCTTAGTCTTTGTTTAAAATTTTCGCAACTATAATAATGATAGTTTAGATTCTCAAAAATCCCAATGAATACATAAAGATCTAGTTGATAAAGAATAACCATGTAAGATCATATCGGAGGTAAGATTCGTTTGGTATATATAATATACATTGTTTGGAAAATCCACTTTACACACCTCACTAAATCTAGTCTAGACATCACCCCCGTAAGTAGATGAATCAGTATTATGACTGGAATCACTGATAAATCATATTTATAGGTTTATAATAACGACTATGAATATAGATATAAGTTACACTTAAAGCATACTAGGTGTAGCTTAACTTACAGAGTTTCTGACAAAAGCTCTGAAAGTTTGCAGGCAGAACTTCAACCCGAAAGCTTCTATTTGTTAGGCGTCTCTGATGCCTAGAGCCTTGCTAAAATACCCTAATAACTAGAAAAACTCGAACTCAAGATTTCAGAAGAATCCAGAGAGGATTTAGATTTGAATGTGGGGAATGGAGTGTTGGTAGCTGCTATTTATAGTGATTCTGTAGGGGAGGCGTGTCGCACCCTGGCTTGGGCAGCATAGTCTTCCTCTGAAATGCTGACACGTGGCAGAAAATTAGTGGAGTTGTGTCGCATTTTCCAGGTAAATTTCTCGAACTTAAAAAATTTATATCTTTTTCATACGAGCTCCGTTTTCAACGTTTTTTATATCCACGCGTAGCTGTCGACGAGTACTACAACTTTCATTAAGACTATGTCAGCTAATTCTCATCCTATTTTAAATTTACATTCTATGAATATTACACTGTGACATCCCCAAATTTCACGACCAGAAAAGACCGATCTGTTTATCATTTATTCGAAAATCAGAGTATATTTTTAAAGAAATACGTTGTGGAATTTGTTCCCAAAAATATGATAAAGAATTTATCAAAGCATTTCCGAAGAAATGTATTTTCATTAAATTACAAATCTCGGGATGTCATTGTCAATACAAATCAAAAGCATAAACAAAAACAACATAGGCCTCACAAATATTCCATTTATTTCTACTGGCGTATAATCCATAATCTCTCATCAGATCTTCGATCCTATAATCTTGTGTCACTACCTCTACTACAAGAAACTGAGTGGGTCGGGCTGGGGAGCCTGGTGAGCACATAAGGGTTTTCAACCCACAATAAATAAATTTAATTATTTTCATCAAATCATTCAACCCGATTACCCATTCCCGTTATCCTCACTTTACCTCCCTAAAGCATCTATTATAAGGGACTTAGCCTAAGGATTTTTTTTCATCGGGGTGGACAACATTGCTTTGGGGATTCCTCAGAAATACATGTCAAATAAGGCAACCATGGGGGGATGGAGTACACCTGGCGAACACGTAGTTCAAATAAACACCTACAGGTTGCGAGCCTGCTAGCATTCCACTGGACTGTCTAGAAAAGTCTGTGGTCGTCATCCATACTCCGCTAGATGACTGGATCAACATTAACATCAAGGGCTCTCATCATTTTATTTCATCTACCCATGTTTTACCCAACATATTTGTAGATATAAAATACATATACAATTTAGATCTGAAAAAAAAGGTTCAAATCTTTCATCCAACATAGATCTCAAGATATAAAATACATATACAGTTCAGATCTGAAAAAAAAAAGTTCAAATCTTTCATCCAACATAGATCTCAAGATACAAAATACATATACAATTCAGATCTGAAAAAAAAGGTTCAAATCTTTCATCCAACATAGATCTCAAGATATAAAATACATATACAGTTCAGATCTGAAAAAAAAAGGTTTAAATCTTTCATCCAGCATAGATCTCATCATATACAATTTAGATCTAAAAAAAAGGTTTAGATCTAAAAAAAGAGTTTAAATCTTTCATCCAGCATAGATCTCACGTAAACAGATAATATGCACACATATTACGTAATTTATATAAAATACTTCATATCTACATGTAAGATGAAAGTAACTATGCACTCACTTGATAAGGTGGTGATTCAACTTGGACAGCGCTTCGCTTCGACGAAACCGAGAGGTTTACTTGAAAACCGGGCTCTGCGGGGGCAGAGTTCTGAGCCGAAAACACTTTTTTCTTGGAGCCTTCGGGCGCTCCAGGACTTTCTTCTAGTTCTAGGGATGTTTCCTAGGCTTGGGGGTGTTTGGGAGGTTTAGAGATAGAGAGTAGAGAGAGAAATAAAGGGTTTATGGTGTGAAGAATGAAGCAAGCCTTGCACCTTTATTTATAGCTGAATTTTGGCTCAACTCGACGAGTATTGTGCCTCCAACTCCTCGAGTAGGTGCCAAGTGTCACCATTCTGGTGGAGGACAAGTAGTGGCCTATATTGTGCCACGTCACCCCTTTTGCAGCAGCACTCTGCCGACTTTTAAACCCCGTAACTTTCGCATATGATCTTCATTTTCGACGTTTTTTATATCCACGCGTAGGTATTGACAAGATCTACAACTCTTCTTTTGACCCCATCGGCAAATTCCCGACAGATTTTAAATTTAACAGTATGAGAAGATTACACTGTTAAACGACCGTGTAAAATTCATAACTTCTACATACGGACTCCGTTTTCGTCTGTCTTTTTATCGTTGAACTCTTATTAACGAGATCTTCAATTCTCATTTAGGTTGCGTCGGCCAAAAATCGATCGATCTAAAATTCGAATTCCGGGCTATCTGCTACGTTAAATCTTAGAAAAATCATAACTTCGTCATACGAAGTCAGATTTGAACATTCTTTTTATGCACGTTCTCAGTTTAACATATAATATGACTTTCGTTTAGATTTCTAAGTCTAAAAAGTAGTTTATCAAAAATTCATTTTTTACGTTACGCGGTGTCGTGCCGGTTTAACCATAAAACTTCGACAGGTCATAACTTTTTCGTTATAACTCGGATTTCGGCGTTCTTTATATCTCCGGAATCCTTGTCACGACCACTAAAACTTTCTTCATAAATATTGGGTTTATCTATTATTTATTTTTGACGCTTATTTTCATTCTTAATTTATTATATCTTATAAATAAGTGTAATGCACATAAAGTCACATAATTCACATAATATTCAAGTAATTCCTCTTTCTTACTTCAAAATAAGTTACATTTGTTGACCCTAAATATTACATCATCATACTAATGCTTAGCCTAGAAACGCGGGCGTTACAATTCTCTCCCCCTTAGGATGATTCCATCCCGGAATCATCAACAAAACATGGCTTGTAAAATGACTTCATACGTTATCTCTTCATCCTAGTTAATAACCGTAACTTCTATGTTCCTTCGAATGAGTATCTAACTCTTGGACTTCTTGACTGCAGGCGGGGCTCGATCTTGCAGCCGCTCTCTATCTCATGTTGGACTTTCAATCATGACCTTTTAGTCACAATCTCGATCTCTGTTGGAGACTCCTTCTTATTTTTAATAAACTTAAGATAAGTTATTTCCTTCGATTACCATAATAGACCCATGGGTCATGTTCTAATGACCTCTCATCGTATGATGCAATGCTTAGACTCAGGTCTCTTATAGTCAAATTCCTGAATGTAATATACCTTCCTTCATGTTCTAATGTGATATAATCACATTCTAGCAGGCAACACTTTTAGCTACAAGCTTCTTACTTCAACAACGATCTCGATACTTCTATTGATTGCTCCGATTATCTTTCACTTCAATCG